AACAGTCTGTCACTATATAGTCCTTCTTTTTCTCTTTCCAATTATGCAGAATAAACAAATGATTATCGCGAAATTTTGAGCGTAAGGCCCATAACCTATAATAAAACAACGGTTCTTTCAATGGCGGTTAAACGACTGACTTTTATTTTCCAAAGTAAACAGTAATACACATTGTAGACACTAGATGGCGGTACGAGTCTCATATTTTAGATATTAACATTTCAACACTTCTTATAATTAAGGTTTTTTTCCGTCAGAGAGCCTTTATTTCTGTGCGGAATTAAATTAAATTTATATTATTAACTGTTCTTTATAACTTCTTTCAGTTATACATATACAATCTTGCCTTTAAAAGTCTCCAATTCCACAAATCTATTTAAATTTAATTCTTTTACTTTAAAACTCTACTCATATCTAGTAGTGGGAGAAAACGTTTCACTGTAGTCTATACCTCTGACTTGTGAAAAACCACGGGCAACGAGAAGGGTCATGTACCTCTCTATTTCTCCTTCCTCCTTATTTTGATGTTATCGTTCTCTGATCTCTGTTCTCTAGACTCCAAGTGTTATTCTCATTATAAGCTTCTATTTCTTCATTTATAGCATTCAACCCAGGACTTACAATCTGGACGTGTAATAGCTTCCTCAAATGTATTAGGGATATCGAATTCCATCACGTTTGCCCCATGAAACCGGTTTCTAGGTCGTAACGTAATGTTTGACCTGCCAATACCGCTCAGGTCAATTTCTTGAGCTGGCTCATACGTCTCATCCTGGTCTATCTCATCATAAACACTATCGTCACTCTGGTTGTTTGAATCATCGACATTATTATGTGTGGATACTCCCACTGCTTGTTCTTCTACTTGTTCTCCTTCTTCAATCCATATCTGAGCCATTTGTCTGTCAATTTTAGGAGTGCTTTGTTCATCAAAAATAACATTTTTAGAAACGGTAATAGTATTTTTATTAGGATCGCACATTCTTCTATAATTGTTATTGTCGTACCCAACTAACATCATCTTACGAATAACCGACTAAAACCGCACGCCGTCTCAGGTACCAGTAGTCGGGCAACCAGGTGTACCCTAGAAAGGAAATCCCTGGTGCGCCGACGTACCTCGGGCCATCTACGGCGGGTAGAGACCCCCCTGTGTGGGAACCCCCATGTTCCCTCTGTGCTCCCGGAAGGACGCAGCGCGCTCGCTGCCACCCCGGCCTGCTTCTGCTAGATGAGGCCATCTGTCACCCCCCGGCCTGCGCTTATGGAGGACGGAGGTGGTTCTGCGACCTCGCGCGAGTCGTCTGTGGTACTTGGCCCGTTCCCGAACCTGGCGGCAGAGTTCCACGCACTCTCGCTCCGCACGATAGCCGCAATCAGGTTATCGAGCGAGAGAACTCCCACTCCGATGGCCGCCACGAGGTCTCGCCTCTGCTCCACCCACGCCGGGCATTCTGCCAGCGTATGGAGCGCCGTGTCCACGGTCCGACCATCGCAGTGGTGGCACTCAGGCGTTGGCTCCTTGCGGATCAGACACAGGTGATCCCCGAAACATCCTTTCCCAGTGATCACCTGCGTCAGTCGGTATGAGAGGGTCCCGTGATGCCTCTCGAGCCAATCCTCCATAACGGGTCTTACCGCCGCGATGACGGCGTGCCCGTCTGTCAGAGAGCCTGAACTAAATTTATCGGTATCACCTTGGCCCGTGTAAAGTACTCTCTGAGCCAAGCAATTTTCAAATGTACCGTGGACATTGTAGCTCAAGGACAAGACTTATTGCGATTATTTTTTTAATTCTCCAAACTACTACACTCAAATCTTTAGATTCAAGACAAGAAACAAACATTTTAGTGGACACAAATCTTCTTATAACAACAAAAGTCGCATTGTTTGTAGAATTACAAAGCGATTACTTAACTAATATAAAAAAGAGGTTAGATATTTCCTGAATGTTTGTTTTAGTCAGTAATAGGTCCATAGGCGTGGTTGAACTTGTGTGCAAACATTGATTAGAGGTAGGTCCAAGACATTACGGCAAGGTGTGTTGACGTAAACGGAATGGTTAGGCCTGAGACAAACAGTAACTATGTTAAATATCGACAGTTAATAGCTCTTTTTCTATACCTATTTTTATATATTATTCTTCTACATGGAGAGATCAGTGTAAAGAACAAAAGTTTGTTTATATTGTGTAAGTGTGTTAGAGCATTATATTACGTATGTAGTTGTGGCAGATGTGATCAACGTTTTGATCAATTTCAGCTCAAAAATAACCTAGTAAATGATAGCGTATCTTCATACTTGTTATCAGATATTTTCTTTGCCACAAACATTACGAATAACGATTAAAATTTGTTCTCTTATTTATTCTTATTTTATTTGTATTTATGTGTACGGCTTATTGTTTTTTTTAATGTGATCCCACTATGGAGAAAAAGAGTGTTATGAAGAAAGCTAGAATGAGTGATATAATACTTATATACTTTTTTTGTAAATAAATACATAGAAAACACCCAAACTCCATTTGGACCATTTGGTCGGACCCGGGAATCCAACCTGAGACCTCAGCACAGCACTTGCATACGCTACCACTGCTACACCGAGGCAGTTATACTATACTTCTTACAATAATACTCTAATTAATTACTCCACACTGATACGACATCAGTAGTAGTATCTATATTGCACCCGTGCGAAGCCGGGCGGATCGCTAGTATACCTAATATATATATAATACCATAGCTGAAACAAAATTCATTCTAGGTTTGCTAAACAGGTTATATGAGGTATTTTTGTCTAAAGCTGTAAGCAGGCCTACGTTACTTAACGGCTGGGTATCAAAGTAACACCTAACACAATCATCGGTTTAATCAGTAGAGATACGCACACATGTGACATATCATGAATTCCTCGTACACAATAACGAAAGAGTTACGTAAAACTTAGTGTTAATATTGAATTCAAACCAAGAAAGTAGAAAACTGAAAGTATCACAACATGGTTTGGACATATGTGTATTTCAAAGTAACTAATGTACGGTTAATATACAATTGTGTGACTATTAGTGATGTTATGTTAATTCATGTGTATGACATATTATCAAGCATAATATCTAATGTGTATCAAATTAAAATTAAAAATACCTAACCGTGTCTGATTTTCAGATTTTAACTCTGTTGTTCTACTTGTCGCACCTTTATTCATAAACTGAATTAACTTAGAATTTCAATATTGTGGGAAATCGCATTTAAAGTTTGACATTCATGTACGTGCGAGTTCGTCAAAAAGAGAACGACGATCTCTTATCTCTGCCATTTTCATGGTATCGAGTCGGCTGTTGGATTGTTCGTGTTCTACTGATGAAGTTGATTTGGTATTTGTTAAAAACTCGAAAAACGTAAATTTTGAATTAATTCAGTTTATTATTAAAGGTGCGTTGTATCTAATCTCCAATAATTAAACAAATGGTTAGTGTGGTAGTATTTACAAATTAAAAACTTTCACATGTCTAGTCTGCGTTCTTTGTTGTTCATCAAGCTATGGAAAGTGACGTGAGTTTGTAAAGTGAAACGATATGAATAATATTAAAATCTGCTACGATACAAGGGTGGCTAACAAATAAAAGTATTAGTTCCTCTGAAATCAAAGCGAAATCCTCATTAACATTTAATAAAGAAAGCTATAATAAAACTATTGTGAACATCAAGTGCACTACCCTGAGTTTCAAAAATTATGCTTCACAATAGATAAGTACACAACAAGTAATAAAATATTAAAAATTGTATTTTCTATTCACAAACACAATACGAATAGCTAAATAGAACGATTTTTATAATGATGTACATTATAAAAATCGTTCTATTTAGCTATTCGCATCAAAAGTTACGCACGGAATCAATTCTCTTTTTTTAAATATACTTCATGTGTGGTTACGATACTGCAGATTTCTGCTTGAATTACCCTTTTAAGGTCTACTTTAATCTATATGTATGAAAATGTTAAGTTGGTTTACGTACGCTTAAAAAAACTCAAAAAGTTTTACATCGATTGATCATAAATTTTGACACGATATATACAACCCGCTTCGAGATTATTTTTAATCTATTTTACGCGACAGTTTGTTCCTTATTTCCTACTTTCTCTTGCTTATTGAATCTATATAGTGTGAAGTAGCGGTAATATTGGTATTGCTTTGAAGCGACCCGCCTGACCGTTAACAAACATGGCATGCGTTTCACCCCTACGTACGAAGCCACTCTTGTTCAGAGCTGAAAATACTTTTATAAAATATATACTTTGTCGAAAATCCGATCACAGATTACTAAATTTTTATGTGGTCTGTCGCCATATTAATCTATCCAGATGGTCAAGACTTTACTACAAAATGATATATTTTTAGAAAAAAAAAAATAGTTTCGTTACTATTAATAATTACATATTTCCACCATTCTGCCATATCAATAATTTAAATTATGACATATAACGCAACAAACAATTTAGATTTTGAAGGTTGGTCTGCCGAGTTTTCTTTATTATGCACACTCGCAATGATATTAATTTTATTTGATTATTGTGTTGGTTTTATATGTCATAATAATACAGATTATTATTTACGGGGTCTTGTAGCAAATCACTGTGATATGTTCGTCCACTCCACCTACTTAACTTATTATATCACCGGTTAAGCTATAACAATAGTGTAATATTAATAAAGTGAATACCAGGCCGATACTTAGGTTTTTTATCCTGTCTACCGGTCTGTTTTTAAACGCCTATGTTTGCTTAACTATGTAAACTAAACTAATCTTGGAAGTCAATTAATTTTTTGTGCCAATAGTATCTGTAAAATTATACGCTTATTGTATCGTTCAGTACTTTTTAGTTCTTGAGTATTAAAATCTCCCAGACCTTGGTCTTTAACATGCATCAGTTAATGTCAAGACGCATTATTTGATAGTACCATTTAGTTTGCTATAAAGGAGAATCTCCTGGTTTTTCAGGTAAGGACGGCTCCAAGGTGACGACCGTAGTAGCGACGCCGGGCCAGGGGCCCGACCGGCCGCAGGAGGTGAGCTATGCTGACATGAAACTCATCGGAAACGGCAGCTTCGGCGTCGTCTACCAGGCTAAGTTATGTGACACCGGTGAGCTTATTGCCATCAAAAAGGTGCTCCAGGACAAAAGATTTAAGGTTAGAAAATGTTTTAGTGCATAAAGTGAAAGCTGTAGTAGTGTTTGATCTTAGCTAAATTGTGTAATACTAATTGAATAAATTAATTATAACTTAAGGTCATAGAAACCTTATATTGCTGTTAAAAAATAGTAATATGTCATGTAAATACAAGATTAACTACTGTAAAAGGTTGTATTGATTGTCAAAGCGGCGAATCCGATACGAACCCGTGAAAATACGGATCTAGAACTTTTGGGCTGAATTCAGATTCAGATGTTGCATTACGTGATTATGATTTGGAAGGCGACGATTGACTGAATCCACATATTGCGACTGCACTGATGGCGTAGTGATTTAAGCGGTCCCACGCCGCTCACTACTACGCTGAGTGTTGTGAGTCCGATCCACACATGGGACGACACTTTGTGTGATCCATAAATTGGCGTTCTGAGTGTGGGTGTTCTTTATGTCCGTTTCTTGTATGTTTGTAAAGTCCCCCACACAGATATATTCCTAATGAAGCAGTTGTCTATAACAAAAAAATACGGACTATTGCGATCTCTGATTCTATTCCAAGCAATTCAGGGATCACCTTTTAGTATACGTAATTTTACGCAGAGCCTTAGCAGAGCGTTCACGTCGAAGATCATGAGTCCTTTCCATCGGTGTCAACTCCTGGCAATGTTATTGTATGTACGAACGACACAGAAGAAGAAAAAAATTCTGAGTGCGTTCATACAAATAATTGTATGGCTACTTTGCTCCATCTAGTGCGTAAACTACCATAGAAATAGTTCTATTAGTCATATTTTTACGGGTTAGGCTCGGATTCTGATCGGACGTAGGGCAAAACTACTCTCAACGTGAACTCAATATAAAAAAAGTGCAATTTATTGAATTTGTATGATGTGAATCCTTCCAAAAAAAATATTGATCTTATTTAGATTACTCTTGAGTATTTAGCTTCTGTCAAGCTCAGAAGCTATTTGTCAAAATAATGTTTCATAATATTGTTTCAAAATAGTTGTATGTAATGATTAATACAAAGAAATATACGTAGATCGTAACTTTTGTTTACCGGAGTTTTTGAAGGCATTGTGACAATTTACATGTTTCTTAGAAGACTCATATATTGCTAAAACCAAGCAAAGTAATTCACAATGTTAAATACTTCACAGAATCGTGAGCTTCAAATCATGCGACGACTAGAGCACTGTAATATTGTCAAACTGAAATATTTTTTCTACTCCAGTGGAGAGAAGGTAAGTTTTTATTATATTTGTTTTGTATTTAATATTTTCCTACAATACTTAAACTTCCATAGTCCTATAATGCAAGTCAGGACCTACCAACCAGAGGAGATATATCTCATAATATATAGAATCACGTTAATCTATACTAGTTTCATTATAGAATGTTGTTCATTTTATGATAGATTTCCATTCCATTTAGCCTGTTTGATTAATTAAAATGTTAATCTTTAATAAATATTGTAAGACTATCCTAAAATGCAAGTTTTTTTCGATAATATCGATGGCCCGCTTCTTTTATATTAACATGATTTATCTCCTTAAGACTTCCTTCTTAAGTACAGGAATCTAATGTTATTTTAATGTGTGTATTTTGGTCATATTTTGGTTCGCTTTATTAAGGGTGTATTTTTGTGTGTTTTATTTGGGGGAAGGCGGCAGTGCCCGCAGCAGTGAGCTCAATGTTAAACGCAATGCAGTCTCTTGATGTCGCAGTACGTTTATGAATCAATTAGATTGTTGCGCTAGTGTGCTAACGCACAATTAGGCCTCCAAACTGGGACTGTGGCTACCGAACAATATTTTTTTGATCTGCACTTTGCATAAAAACAAAAGTTTAATCGATCATAGAGTATCGTTCGGTAACCTTGGATTTCCGTCGAACAGTTGTGTGAGAGCAAATCCGTATCACGTCATAGGCCGTAATCTTTCAGCCATGAGCTTTCACATCTGAACAGGTCGATGCCCACTACGTTCTTCATCATTTCATCCTTAACTTGTTCTTTATGAGTCATCCAAGTTGTGTTTATTATTCTAACTAATGCTTGCTTGATACATTGGTTATGAACAGCTTCAGTGTTTCATTTCAATATGTTGTTTATATGCACTAGTCTGTGAAAACAGCAAACATTTTTTTCGCAAAATACATGCACTCTAAGATGTGTCTACACTGGTCGATTGTTTAACATTATCTGATAGTACTGTATATCTTATTCTCTGTTGTCATTGTTTTTATTCCTTTATTAAATATCTTTATAACTTCAGTTTGAATAGAAATAAAGTTAAAAAATATTCGAAACTAACCGTTTGCGATATAGATGCTGTAAAACTTCCTTACTAGATTACAAAGAATTTATTGTCATCTGCACAACAATCGTCATTAGAAATATACTTGTAGTGTAGTAAACACATAACCTATGTTTGTCGTGTGTATAAAGGTCTAATTTTAAACAGCATTTTGTATCATACCAATATTTTTTTCCACTTTGGTTAAACGTGGTTTTCAGGTTTTCTCTTGCACAGGTGTCTTTTAAAAGTATAAACGAAAGAGCATACCTTTATAAAATAGACTTTATCACACAAGACATTATTAATGTAAAAACAATCATAGAAGTCTAGACTATTCCATCTGTCCTTTGTAAACAGAAACTCTTTAATATCATTAGTCACTGTCTATATGCCATTATGACTCATAATACAGAAGTAATCCAGTAAAGCATAGCATTAGGTAAATGAAAGATTATGGTCGTGGATACTATTTCAGTGTACTGTTTAATTTGTAATATGTTTTCAGAAAGACGAAGTGTACCTGAATCTGGTGCTGGAGTATATACCTGAGACTGTGTATAAAGTGGCACGTCATTACTCCAAAGATGAACAAACCATACCCATTAGTTTTATAAAGGTATATTATATTTTATACCTTTTTAACTACTTTGGGAACCATGAATTTCTGACATATCTTTCCCTTTCAGCTGTATATGTACCAGTTGTTCAGAAGCCTCGCGTACATACACTCGCTGGGCATCTGCCACCGAGATATCAAGCCACAGAATCTATTACTCGACCCGAAGACTGGCGTACTCAAACTTTGTGATTTCGGCTCCGCAAAACACCTAGTTCGCGGCGAACCCAACGTTTCCTACATTTGCTCCCGATACTACCGTGCTCCAGAACTCATTTTTGGCGCCATTGATTATACCACTAAAATCGGTATGTATTTATATTTCTCACTACTATAGGTAAATAATTATACTCTAAACAAATATATTATCCACTAGCTGAGACCCGCGGTGTTACCCGTGTTTGTTGTTATAATCGCGGGCAACGCCGCGGAGCGAAGCTAGTCTAAAAAAGTAGCATAAGTTACTCCTTACGTCATCAGCTATCTGCCAGTGAAAGTCCCGTCGAAATCGGTCCAGCAGTCCAGGTCTAAACATACATATGCATTTAGTAAAAAGCGGTTATTTTTTATTAATAATACAAACAGACACTCCAATTTTATTTATTTGTATAGATTGCTATTTAGCCTTCAAATAAGTAATAGCTAATGAATGACCTAAACAATATTTCGATAAATTAGTATAAAACTCTTCTTATCATACAAATGTTCTATTATCAAGGTTAATATATTTTTTTAACATATATGTTCACAAATAACTGTCAAATATTATTACTGTACCTAGATAATATAAAAATCGCCCAACTTTAATAATCATAAAGCTATGTAAAAATAATTAGTACAAGTTTTTATGTACTTAAATATTTTTTCTATTGGATTATCAAAGCTAGGCCATGCTTCCATAGCTATATAGTACAAAACTATAGTGTCGCCGACCGGCCGCTGAAGCCAGTGAATCGCATGCTTATTATAGAAACCGTTAAATGGCAGTCCTGTAGCCCTTTCACCATAACTAACGTATCAAAACCTAACAAACTATTAGATATCCTCAGAGGCTGAATAAAGTGGATAGGTTGTTATCGCCTTAAGAGTTTGTCTGATTACGGTATCAATATTGAGAAGGCGGAGTCATTTATATGTGCTACATATAATCAGTTTTATTGTTATTTATATCTAAAAACCCTTGTCACCTGTATCATCATGTATGAACATGAAATACAACTCTTGTAAACAAAGCACGGGACAAAAATTTGTGTGATCCAAATAGTTGTCCCGAGTCTTGAGTATTCTTTAAAGCCGTTGTTTGAATATTTGTAAAGTCACAACACAAATCGTTCCTAGTGTGGTAGTTGTCTTTATTAGAAAAGTGAGTAGAGTAGAGTTGGTTTAATTATTCTATTCAGCCCGGTAGTCAAAGACCTGGGCTTACTTATCGATTCATTTCTCGATTGGCGAGCTCAAATTACTAGCGTGAGCCAGAAAGTAACTGGCAATTTGCGAACATTGTATCGGCTCAAGAATTTCCTACCTCCTAAAACTAAAATTACGCTCATGCAGTCCTTAATAATGCCAATAATTGACTATGGTGATGTGTGTTATTTCGACCTGAATGCAGATCTTCTAAATAAGCTTGACCGTCTTCTCAATAACTGCATTCGATACATCTTCAATCTTCGGAAGTATGACCATGTGTCTGCTTTGCGTTCCCAATTAAACTGGTTGCCTATTCGCCTCCGCCGCAAACACCGCGCACTTACCTCTCTATTTGCATTTCTCAATTCACCGTCCTCACCTACTTACCTTGCTCCCTACTTACGTTACCTGTCTAGCAATCATGACAGAAACCTTCGCTCAGATAACAATCTGCTTCTCTTATGTCCCTCTCACAACTCCGACTTCGTGAACTCTTCGTTCTTTGTTCAAGCAGTACTACTCTGGAATGCGCTCCCGCTCGAAATCAGGATGTCCACAAACCGCTTTACATTCAAAAAGAAGGTACATGCTCTCCTTCTTAAAGAAATGGCAGAACGGTCTAATCCATAGTTAAGTATACCTCATATTCAGGTTTTCATAGTGTACGAATAAGATATGTCTATGTATCTATATAAATATACTTGTATATATATGTATATGTATCTATGCGTATTTATGATGTGTAAGTGTAGTATGTGTGTATATGTTTATATACACTGTGGCGGTATAGATATCACAAAAAATGAAATAACAGATAACACGGTTCAATATACGTCGGTTAAAATAAAAAAATAAAAAATTAGTACGAAAATACAGAAATGCAAATTTAGAACAAACTAAATACAATAAAATAATTTCCGAATTAGAACACCATTGATAACATGAGTCGGTGAACTGTACCTACACGGCAGCGTCGCAATGTCGGCGACATCAAAACGACGCCGCCGCCGAACTTTACATTCTTATTACCTACCTACCAATCACTTCACTTGCTTTTAAAAATCTATTTATAAAGAATGCGATTTTATTCACGTGTTTATTTCGTGAATGCTCGACTAGCTTCCGACCCAGCAGTACGCGTCACTCCTTGAAAAAGTAGTTACCTTGGTTGTCTCGTAATCTTTGTACCGCCCTTACAAAAATTCGGCAGTCTGTAGGACATACACGATTGACTCCATACGTGTCCGTAAAGCAAAAGATGCGTTTTGATAGAGTTTTCCATAAATTAACATCATAGCAGGCAGGCATATTCCGCGGCTGTGAAGGTCACTCACGGCATTATGGATGTTGATATCGATAACCCAATAAAATTAAAAGACTGATAATGCACTCAGTTTCACACTACACTACACACAGAACCTAATAGTGACTTTTCAAAATAAAATTAGCAGGACTCCTTACATTACGAAGTCTTGCGCACACGATAACATTAATTGTTCACACCATTGCCGTGTATTATGACGAAAGCAATAAGACTAAACAATTATTACCACAAGAAAACTTCTCTAAACAAATATGTATCTCATAAACAACAACAATATTATTATTACGGTTATTTGTCGTGAGCGCATCTACAAGGATACGGAATAGCATAAGCTCGCCGGTGGCCAAGGGCCGACTGACTGTCCTTACTGGATGAACTAATTAAAAACGCGTGTTGCATCGTGATGACGTAATAATCAACATATTTCGTTCGATTCGGGTGTAGTAAAAGCGGCAACGTGTGATTACCGCGAATACCTACAGCTGATCGCCGCCTGAGGTCAATGTATTATGAATGCATGTACACATGATGTTGCAATTTACGAAACACAAAAATGAGTCCTGTGGCTAAACTACTGGATATATTTTGTTCATATTTTGCAAATCGCCTAGAAATTAAGGGCAGAATATGTGGCTTAAGTATTTGGGATAGGAAATGAAACTCTCTGTATATTTTCATTGTACATTTGATATTATGATGTAACCTCTCTGTGCACCTACCTTACAAGATTTCTACATCACCTAAAGGTTGACTGGAAGAGAATGCCCTGGGCATTAAGTCCGCCGATGTACAAAAGTGCATAAAGATAAATAAATAAATAAATAAATAAACATTAAAAGTATGATACATAAATTTTGTACGACGTTCAATACAGAATCAAAGTTTCTACAAACATTAGAAGGTGATATTGCTTGCTACCAGTGAATTTGAAATTCACTGTGAATGTTTGTCATTTCGATATTTCTTAACTTTTCATGAACGGGAGGTAAAAAAAGGCTAGAAGAATTGCTTGGAGTTATACTAATACCCACTGACGTGTCCAAGGTTTCAAATTGGAGTAAGTCTATCAGATTTATTCGACACCGCGACAACTTTACTTAGTGTTTTGCTCTTTTTTTACATTAATTGACAACTTCTCGATATTACTTGACAATACAATATGTGGTTTTTGTTTATTATTGCGCTACTGTTATTTTATTAAGTATCTCAATAAAATGGCTGTAAACGTTTTATCAACAAACTTCTTTCTTTATTTGCTAAAAAAGTATGAATATACTATATTGTTGACGGAAATGGTCGTTCCATGAAAGGACTACATTGTACTTACCCTATTACAGATGAGATGATAGTTACTTCGTTGCAGATACAGAGTTCTCAAGCAAAAGAGCTTGAAGACATTGTATTATATCCTGCAGTAGTTGTATTGAGAAATATGTCTCGTGCACACGTACTTATTGAAAGTTAAAAACGCTCTGCTAATAGCGCGGCTGTCGTAAACGCGGCTGCCGTGACTTCGTAGACCCAATAGCGGACGCTCCAGTGCTCTAGAGATCATTCAATAAAAAATCATAAAAGTATTTATTTATTTGATAATTAAATATAATAATATGGAGAGTTGACTTCTATAAAGTAGTAAATAACTTTATTTCCCTCTCTAAAACTTATTATTTTATTTCATAACGTGATAATAATCTAAATTATTTCGAGAGATTTGTACAGTATCAAAAAGTAATACTGTAACTGTAGTACCTATATTCCTTATCATTTGTCAACAACTGTGGACATTATATCAAACGACGAATACACGTTATGAAAAGCGAATATACATCGCGTATCTAAAATAAAAAATAAGGATAACTATAATCATTTATAATATTTTAAAATAATTTAACACGTTACTAATATTTAGCGATAACGCAATACCATTAATAATATTTAGCGATAACATTACCACTACAACGCAATGTTCTTCAAATAACTTAATACGCGTTTCCCGTATTTTGTTTTTAATTTACGCAGAAGAGCCGTGCGTGCGCTTTGGTAAAAGATTGTTGCGACCCTGCCGGCTACGTGTACCATCGGCGATACACTACCCGGTAGGCCAAAGCACGACTTACTTCTATGTTCGAAACTAAAGTCCATCTAATCTAAGAGGTATCGTTTGACAGTGCTGACACATTGAGGCATAGAGATGGCGTCAAAGAAATCGATTACTACAATATCCGATTCCTAGTAGATTTAGGTATAATTTATTAGTATTTACTAATCGATTACAGTTTTATGTATGTTACTGTTAAAGCCCATGAAATGGCATATCTTAGGTTTTACTAGTAAATCTTAGTATACACTAGACTTGGACACGAGTGATTTTGCCTACAATGTTTTATTTAAAATTACATTAACTTACATACTTTTAATTTTAATTATGCGTTTTCGTTGACAGTTGGATGTCAGATCCATTTTAAGTATTATTATTAAACACTTAAAGACGCCTGGACTGAAAACGGTAGTTTAATAATACGTTTAAAAATTATCTATTTATGGATTATTTTGATTTAAATTTTAATTTAATTTTGACAATAAGAATTGTACATCTTGGGATAAAATAACAAAAGCTTCATAATTCCATGGTTTTACAACAAAGGAAATTGCGTGAGTTACGCCAATACAAAGTGGTTTCGTCTTGAAAAGTATAAAACGTCAAACGGTACCTCTTAGATTAAACGGACTATAGTTGTGAATTCAGTTTTAAGGCCTTGGCCAGGGGAAAGAAAAAATTGTTTTTATTCTGTCATTTTTTTCTTAATAAATACTTTATTTTGATAAATAAAAAAAATATCTCATTAAAACTGAGTTTTAATCTAATTTGTTTTTTCTTTGTTTTCGTGCCTAATCCTACGAACAAAGAAGTAAAGTTCTTCTTTTGCAACCAGTTGCGTATTAAAAGAAACCTGTAACTGTTGTAACTGGTTCCGCAACTTAGTCGCGATGGCGGCTGGAACCAACAAAATGCTCACACAAGCATTAGGCTCCGTAGTCCAATTTTACAAAGAATACTGTGCATTGTGTATGTATGTGTTAATACCTACAAATAGAAAAATGAGCAACCTTGTTCACAAGGTGAAATTTATACAAATAAAACAAAAAAAATCTTTGTATATAATAGGGACAATAGTACATCACGCTTACACTATCGGTATGGTGACGGATTAAAAATACGGAATGTCACCACCCCTATTCATCCTGCGGGTGGTGGACTAAGGGAGCAGACTACGCAGCACAACAGCACTGCAGAAAAGAAGGAAAACTTGAAACAAACCCTATACCAACCTGTCTGCCAGTGTGATATAGTAAGCCAAACCTCCTTTCTAAGGAGAGGTCTATGTCCAGCAGTGAACTACTACTTGACTGTTGATAATAATACACTAATTTATACATTTTCGTCATAGATGTCTGGAGCGCCGGGTGCGTTGTAGCGGAATTATTATTGGGTCAACCAATATTCCCAGGCGATTCTGGTGTCGATCAGCTTGTTGAGATCATAAAGGTAAACCATAGTTATTTATATATGTAATTAGCTTTCTGAACATTCCTTGTTCTTCGACACTTGTCAACTGATTAAAACGAATGAATTTAAATAAATTCACTACTACTGAACTTCTTTGTATGAATTATCAATTTTGACTAAAAGCACTGATCACTTTTACAGGTACTAGGTACACCAACACGAGAACAAATTCGAGAGATGAATCCTAACTACACAGAATTCAAATTTCCACAAATCAAGAGCCACCCTTGGGCAAAGGTATTGTATAATATGCATTTCACTAGTGATATTTTTTAGGATAATGTGCTTTCCCAAGAGTATTTAAGCGATCCACTGATAATTAAATTACTGAGGTTCCCATTGAAAACACATTGTAGCTTAGCTATATTAGTAAACATAATCAGTTTAGTTCTTTTTTATAATGCATTAACAGTACAGGAAACATTTAAATATATTAAACATGTATATTTTATCATATGTAGTAAATTCTCCGAAAACCGCCAAGTACCGTTTTCGTCATGTACCACCTACATTACACACCTGTATAAAATTTTCTCCATGTTTCGTCTTATGACGAGTCATAATCTGCGGTTCTAAAGTGTTACTACATACTTGCAATGAAAAGAGATTTAACTGCCCGTTAAATATCGCTCACTTGTTAAAATATCGAAGCATGTGTCTTTTAAAGCACAAACAAATGCATATACATTATACGGTGTTCTCCAAAAATCGCATATCTTTGACGTTCACAGTCTGTAATAACATTTTTAGTATTTGATACTTAAATGCCATTCAAATAAAGTAACTAAGAGCGCGCGTCATTGCAGTACATGTTGGAGCGTATGTCCACGCCCAAGTGTGCCACTGACCACCAGCGCATCCGAGTAAGATATCGCAGTGCGCTATCTAGATGCCTTCATTTTGTTTAAACTGAAAATAGAAGTCATAATATAATATGATTTAAGAGCTATTCAAATATGAATGAAGACATTTAGGATAGATAATTTTGAACTTACGAAATAGCCTTGGCATGATTTAATCAGAATGCCACATATAACTAATCGGTTTAAGCTGTTTCTTATTGCAATTTGTTTGTTGGTGTTCAGTGTGCATTCGAACTGTGCGACTCTGCGTTCAGTTTGTTTCTCGCCTCTCGTATTATTTTTTATCCTGAAACTTTTAATACTTATCAAATATCTTTATGTTTCAATTTGTATAGGAACAAACCTGCAGCGTGGCACTGGGACATCTATTTGCTGTTAAATTTGGATGAACTTAATTACTTTTATCACGAGGTCCTATTATTGTCGGCTAACCATTAACATGTAAATACTTGTATATTTCTTCTACGTGTGCATAACAGGAATTATTTATTTCGTCTGCTAACATTTTAACGTTTAATTGAATATAATTTTGAGGTGCGTTATTAGTTCGTTACGCTTCCTACGTTAGAAAGATAAGCCCTCGAGTAGGGCGAGGTGTAAAGCGCGGCGTGTTGCAGGTGTTCCGCGCGTGCACGCCGCCGGACGCCATCTCGCTGGTGTCGCGGCTGCTGGAGTACACGCCGGGCGCGCGGCTGTCGCCGCTGCAGGCGTGCGCGCACAGCTTCTTCGACGAGCTGCGCGAGCCCGCCGCGCGCCTGCCCAACGGGCGCCAGCTGCCGCCGCTGTTCAACTTCACGGAGTACGAGCTGAGCATCCAGCCGTCGCTCAACGACTTCCTCAAGCCGAAGGCGGAGGCCCGCGAGGCGGCGGGCGGCGGGGGCGGGGGCGGGGGCGGCGCGGAGGCGGAGGCGCCGGCCGCGGGCTGCGCGGGCGCGGAGGCGCGCTCGTAGACGGCGCTAGTGATACTTACTTTCGTGTTGGCCATCGGGAAAATTACATGCATAATAGGTGTTTTCGGCGAGTAATCGTGTGATACTGTAGTGTAATTGTCGATAAAGCTTGAGCTGTCGTAGTCGGTAAGAAGGGTAAATCCGTTGTAGATTCTAAACCGTCGCGATGTGATTACTTTGTACTTTTGTAAGCTCAAATTGTCCCCTTATGTACATACCTTATATGCTGAGTTTGAATGTTTATTTAGTAAACGACAGATAATTACCGTCTGGATAAATTGTTTTGTTTTATTTACATTTTTAATTCTCGCCCGTTTGTCTCTCGGAGATGATTTCGCTTATATTTGTAGCCTTAATGTACTCGGTGTGAGACGTTTTATCATAGAGAGAGGTTAGTAACCTATTTGTTCACACGAAGCACCTATCGAGAGGTAGACGCCTGATACTTACCTTGCTTGGGCCGTGTAATCAGTAGGGAAGACATATTCAGTAGTGTATTAGAGTATTTATTGTTGGAAAGTATCACTAACTCGAGAAACTTTTACGAAGCGTATGCCTAGTGTTATTTCAACGATAAAAACGGAATATTTGTTGCAACCAATAGAACGCATTGTAAATTTTTATAACTAGCGTAAACTGATCTCTCAAGATAATTTATAATAATGATTATTATATCTCAGAATATTTGTATAAACAACTCAGAGAATATAAATTTTAGATGTACTACACATATATTGTTTTTTTTTCGGCAACTTCTATGTTTAACATTTTTTGCTGTGTATTTTAAATTATCCAATGCTGGATAAATGTAATGTACCTATTTAATAGCACTGTCGGTGTCCTAATTATAACGACATAGTTTTTGGATAATATTGTATTCTATATTCAATAAATGATATTTCTATTATATGAAATTTGTCATTGAGAACACTATGGTTATTAGTAGTCATTTATGAAACAATGTTTAATAATGGTAAAATTTCATTGTCATAGTTTTAAGTATTCGTTTTGCACTTCGATTTTGAATACAGTTACAAATTAGGAAAGGTTTTGAAAAACCTTTAAAAAGTAGACTAACAAAATCTTTTCTTCATGGTGTAGAAGTAGCCTAAACGCATAAACTTATTGGTGTTATGTCGATTACCTCTTGCACCACTATTTAGAAACGAGTCTTGCATTAATTAAACGCTGCAAAGATCGATTTTCGCATATGAAATAATATTCTACCTTATTTGGACCAACTTGTAGAAGCATCAGCTTTGCATGCCTCTGTCCACTAAAATCCATTGAAAAGATCCATAATGGATTTTTGTGCACTTTCATGCTCACTTCAACACACAACAGATTTTAAGGAGAAAGGGATTTTTAGGATAAACTAAGTGTCGAAAAAATCAGTTATAGGTTAGTGGTATACGAGGAACGCTTTTCTTTCACTTTCTATTGCAATTTTTTTGACAGTACAGAAAAAAAAATCGATGAGAAAAACAAAATGGTAATCATTTTGTTTTTTTCTCATCGATTTATTTTTATTTTAGAACCTATAAATTTATTTAATTTTTTCTAAGAAATGCGCAACAGATATTTCTCCATTAACTAACTGCATTTGGGAATTCATACTAAACTCGTCGTATTTTATTTGATTTCGACTTGCCACTATTAAATTAATGTTAGTACATTGTTCTTTGAAGTATTTCTGTATATCTCCAGCTTAACTGGTAAAAAAGGAGTTAAAGCATTTTTCGGAACTTGCGTATCCTAAAAGAGCAATTTCTCGTAAAAATCTGTTGAAATGGACATGAAAGTGCACACAAAGCCATCATGGATATTTTCAACAAGTTTTAGTGGACATGGGTCTTTGCATGACAAAATTTAGTAACAATACACAATACTAATAAATGTTGAGTATAATACTGTTACATTCTCACTAAAATATTTTTACACGCTTAGCTGATAAACGTAACATTAATTACTCATATTTTTGTAGACAAAACCAGGGCCCGACCATTAAACTAATTAATTATAACTTATCATTTATTGTGTACCAACATGTCAGCAGGTCAGTGCTGAACTCGGTCTTCCTCCTAGATCCTGTAACGGTGTCGAATTGCGCCTTTTTCTAAATCACCGTGGACAGTCAGCTTAGGGAAAGATCGAATTCAGTTGTAATTATATAAACCTGTAATTACTTATAAATTATTGTACTTTAAGGAAGCGCTCCCCGCGCATAGTTTTGAAATCACATAAATAGTGGATGTTAGTTTTTGTCGTTAAGGCTATTAATTTGCTGGAACACCCGTATAATTCGTGTAAATATATTCTAATTACCTTTATGATACGACTCTGGAGTGCCGGGCGGCCCGTCCCGTCGCGGCGCCGGCCGGACTCAGTGAGAGACAGTAGTTTAGATATTACATGTATTTTATTAAGTCTATCTATCTAATATGAATTTTGTAATCGACGTTGCTTCTTAAGACCTTCTGTGTAAAAAGTTATAAGACATACTAGTGACCTGAATATATGAAGCGATGTTATTAAAATCTTTATCCCACTGAATTCTCACTTTCACGATTTGCGTGCACATTTACAACATGAGAATTTCCCGTAAACACATAGTTCGAAATGGAGTTATGACTTATTATATAAATTATTTAAAGTAAAATTTTCTTATTACTGTAATTTTATTAAATTTAATAGTGAGTGAAATTTTGTTTTCATATTTGTTTTACTGAATTTAAATACTTCATAACCCTCATATCGTTGTTAGTTATGAATGAAAATAACATAATTATTAAAAGTAAATAATTAAATGAATAGTAAGCCTGGCTTTTTATTTATAAAATAAGAACCCTGTTTTGGTACATTTTTAATTTCGTATTATTAAGTGGCTATACACCTGGGTTCTTTCTATATAGAGTTATTTTCTTGTCAAATACTTCATCAAAGGTTATTTTAAACTCTGCGCAAACACAAACAACACAAAAAACAACGAAAAGTTACATTCTTCTGAGTAACGTTGGGCAACTTATGAGATGTTTGCTATGGTTTGCTAATATTTCGTATAGAAACTACAGAAATGGGTTTAAGTGATCTCTAGACGTTATAAATAAAAATAGATATAAAGAGAAACAGCTGTGGTCACATTTACTGAGGTAACATTACCATGTATTATTTTCAATTAATATCCATTTTATAATTTATAATAATAAACTTAATATCAGACTCGAACCATAATAAACGCCAATTACCAACATTTCACCAACCAAATTAGCATTCAAACCGAATTTCATTTTCATATAAGTATAATTATGTAACTATTCGTACATCACCAGGTCAAGAAAACACAACAGGCCCTGATTTTGTAGAAATGAACTTTAAAAGTTTTCTTTAACTTATATCCAAAAATATTTAATCTGTAAGCTTTATATTAAATATGGTTCATTCGCAGTAGTTCCATGATGTAACCTTAAAAGTTCTTTTTTTTTAACCTTTTGTTCCATGTAATTTTAGACTACCTACAGCTGACATTAGTTAAATGTATGTACATACATTAGTTATATGAAGGTAGCAAGACATTAATTAAATGAAAATTAATTTATTCAAACTTTTTTTAACAAAATAACCGAAAGCCTGAAAACTCTACTGAACGTTAGGAAAACAAATGACTACATATAATTATAAAAAAGAGAGAAGAATTATATAAAAGAGAAGTGATATTGTACATGGTAAATAAATAAAAAAATAGCACGGGTCTTCGTAAATGTAATAGGTACCAAAATGATGTGTGCGTTACCCCAGCAAAATAATGTCGAAAATGGTCATTTAAACTTTATAGATAATTAGTTGCTCCCCTTCTGTAATTGTTAAGCACATTTTTAAATTTGTTTCACTTAAACTTTTTTAGTTATTTCAAAAAAACATTTCCTGCTGGAGTAACGTTTGAAACGTTACCGCAGCCAGACATTTTCTTTTTTTATTGTAATATTGAAATAAATTTTAGCTAAATAATTAGTTATCTGGACTAGGTAAATGTTACAACTTATTTGGTATTTGTATTTTCTTCGGCTGCGAAGTTATTCGAAATCCTGCTGGAGTAACGTTTGTGGGTTTGCTGGATCTCTGAAACGGGTAAGCGGATTGTAACCATCTTTTGTACATAACTTCTTAAGGATTAGTTTTAATTTGTTCGACAATAAAATAACAAAAATAATAGACCGTTTAAAAATTATTTAGGTAAGTATGAAAACACTTCAATACGTCCTAACACTTTAAATAAGACCTCTAAAGACTTACTTAAAACGTTATTCTATTGCTTGTAACTACCTTCAAATGTATACGAATTTTCGTAAGAATACTGTAAGTGACTAAAAAGTTATGATGAAATGTAGCTCTCCACGTTCACGATCACAATGTGTGCGGCCTTTTTTGGCCACCGATAAACCTGTGTGTGGATATATAAACTGAATGTTATGCCAACAATTAGTTGTTTAGTTCAGTTGTCTACCTGTAAAATTTCAGCGTAGTACATATAATAATTTACTAGATAATTAAATAAAAGTCATTAGAAGGTGCAAGACCGTGGTAACCCGACCATGTTTAGGTGGTTACAAAAAAGCGATCACCCAGTACATTGCGCTGTCTTTTAAAATGTTTTGTGTAATACACCTTACGATTTCGGTACAGTTGCGTACAGTGTTAAATACATTCAATATTTATTCATTATTATTACCTATTATTTATTTTGTTTTTTTCCCTAATTGATCTTAAGCACTAGTTTCTTTACTTAAAATTTATTTAGTCTTTTTTACTACCGGAGCTAAAATCAACAGAAAATCTGCACTGGTCCGCTAAAATTATAAATATGTAGATACATGTATGAACGATTCACCTGACTGCAATAAAACGAAAATTTAAACCAATAAGAAATCGTTTCATTTCTTTGATTTTTTTCGTAAAGAAATAACACTAAAGTAATTGTATTTTATTTTGGGGTGTATAGAGCT